TGCACAATTGGCATAATAAAAGTATTATTGGATGGCACACTGTACAAAGCACCTTGTGGCCACAGTGTGGCAGTGTTGGCCAATAGATAAATGTAAGCCATGTTAGTGTTCGTTAATGCAAAGTTATAACTGTTCAAAACTTTTCTGTTGCACTATTCAGAAAGCAAGGAAGTACTCAGACAGAGCATGTCGACTGATTTGAAATCACAATGAGGCAAGCTCCTCCCTGATGTCATTTTAAATTGGTTTAGTATCATCAGGTTACAGCATGTTTATGTCAAGATTGTACGCATTAGATGCTCTCTCTAAAAAGTGGACAATTTCTGAGTTCAGTTCAGTTTCAAACAATCGTATGTGTGTGTGTGTGTGTGTGTGTGTGTATGTGTGGGCGTGTAGGCGCGGAGTCTTTATTGATAGTTCTGGTCAGCACATAACATTATTATTCACAAAATCTGCCTTTGTTTTTTCACTTCTTTTCAGTGAAGGAGAAGGATCGATGCCATCACTTGCAAGACAAAAATGAGAATCTGTCCACAATATACAGGTAAGAATAATACGTAGAAAGTGGAAATAATCTTGTGTGCATCTGTGGAAATGCAGAATTGGTTTTAGAGCTCTAGAGTCAGAAATCCTGTTAGAAAATACATAATTACAGTAAAATGATTTATTAACTTTCCCTGAGTTGTTTTCTTTTCGCGTTTGTTGGCACAGCAGTAACTTTGAGTTTTTGCCTGGTTATGCTGTAATGGTTCATCACTGCACCCAGCCCATTTTCAGATCGAGCACCGCAATGATGTTAAGAACTATTTTTCCAGTTGTGCTGAGAACACAGTGGGAAAATTACTTCAAAAGCATTACAGCACAGACAACTGCTTGTCTGAGGAAGCTGCTGGCATTGCCTGTACTCAGTTCTTTATTGATGACTGTGTTTGATGAGCATAGCTGCAACTGTTAATAGACGAGTTAATAGATGTATTTGTGATTTTCTGCAGTAGCGATTTACTTGATAGGTTGTTCAGCCCCAATGTGGAAACACATGCAGTAAAAGTCATAACCATATTTCACAGCTGCTGGTAAGTGACCAAACCCTCTTGTACTCTGTGAACTATCCAACAAGTTTGAGCTGACTAAAAGGACAACTTGCTCACTGTTTGATAGTTACATGCAATCCCACATGTTATTGCTGTAAAGAGAGGTATCTGAATGATTCTGACTTCTACAATTTCACATCCAGCTGACACGTACTCCAACATATTGAGTTTAAATATTCTGAAAGGTTTTGCAAGCCCAGTTAAATTATAAAGAAGGCAATAATAGAACACCATATAGTTTTGCATATAGTTTTGTAATATGAATTCTAAGCATTAAGTTATTATCATCCATTTGTATGAGAGTTCTCAAAACCCAGCTCTGACATTTATAAATGTGCTTAATAATCCAGTTGGAGCACAGATGCTGAGCACAGACAACGTCATCCGACACTGTTATAAATCTAAAGAGCCATCACACAGGCAGCAGCATTCACCAGCCACCTAATGAAGATGTCACATGGTTGAGTGTTTGGGTGCGGGAATGTCACCAGGGTTATCTCCAGGAGACCTCGCAGCACATGCAGTACGTTCTGTTGAATTAGGCTCTCAGCTCAATCATATCGCTCAACAGTGGACCCATGTCTTCTTCCAGCTTCTACCAGTAATGTTTGGATCATCCTTTTTAGAACGCTTCAGACAAACAGCAATTTAAAAGATGAGGGTAAAACAATACTCTTGTGTCTTCTCTTTTCAATTTTGCCTCTAGTAAACACTATATCAACTTGCATGCTCCTGAGAAGGTTGAGATGGGTTGCGTCTGCTACTTGAAGAGGTTTGGTTGGAAATCTAGAGGAAATTAATCTTGGTAAAACAAACTTGATGCTCTGTTACTTGGGACTAAAATTTGACAAGAATTTCAGGGTAACTCGTACAATTTGGAGATATACCTGTAGTTTTCAAGGAGCCAAGAGATCAATCTTAATACGACATACACCACTTGTCAGAGAGCTCCACATATATATAAAAAGTATTCCAGCATTTTATCAGAATGATCTTTTAATAATTGGAAGAAGCATGTCTGCTGTATTATTGTTCTCTAGCTGGTATGTAACCTTACACGCAAAGATAAGCAGCAGCTGTCAGTGGCGGAGGCAGCAGATAACTGAATGTACAGCCAGTTTAAACAGTCATTCTGTTTGTCCTGCTGAGGTTTTGTACTGCTAACATGCAGTAACACAACATGTCATCCCTGCAGGCCCAGTCATCCCTGTTTAACGTATGGAGTATGCAGGTAACAGTGTTTAAATAATTTTCTTTTTCTGATAGTTGTGCAAAGTGAGATTATTCAAAAGGTGTTTTATATTTTGTTCAGAAAATGAAAACCTTTTTGACACTTTTGTTATTTAGCCTCCTTCACCTTTTTTGCACCTGCTGCAACAAAGCATCGTCCGAGCTGCTAATCTTCCCAAGGTGAACTTACTCAAAAGCACTGCACAAAGGCATAATAATAAAAGGTTTAGTATAATATAGATCAAATCTGTTTTAGTGTGGGTCACTGACCCAAACTGTATCGGCTCTTTCCAACCTTAATAGTCTGCTCCTCTGGGAGCATAGTGTTTGGATTGGTTGGAAAATATATTGGCAATAAAGAGACAAAAGGATGTCATAAACGTTGATTAAAGCTCCGGTTAAAAGACAGAGGCGGAGGAGCTCTGAGTTATGACGGTTTTTCAGACTGCGTTATTGTTTCAGTGACAGAGCTCTTAGTGCGTCTAGTGGAGTGGTCGCTGGCGAGTGGTAAACATTTCTTAATGTGTGAGGAGTCATTAATCCCTGGAGCTGAGGACGGCTGCACCACCAGTGTCTGTGGCCCAAGAAATCACAGCCAGTTGGCACCAACAGGTCACACAGAGCTCCAACATAAATGCTTTGTACTGCAAAGCGCTTTAAATCTGCTGTGGCTGTAGCTAATAGCATTTCATTTCCGATAAGGCAGAGTGGAACAACTACGTATTCTGCATGTTTATTTTTCTATTTTTAAGTGAAACTGTGAGGTCTTCCAGGTTAAGGCCCAATTTGTGAAAGATAAAATACACATGATTTGATTAGCAGAGATTAGCTGCTATGTTTCTAACAGTGGAGTCTAATTTTAATGCATAGGTTTGATGATTAAAAAATCTGTCACCAAGGCTGAATTACTGTCTAGGCGAAGCAGAAAACTGCAGAACTCCAGAACATAAAGTGTCCTGAAAGCTCCAGGCTTAAAGTGTTGTGCAACTGTAAATAAAATTATTAATTAACTGAAGTGGGTCCTGGTATATTTTTTAATCTTGAGCCCCTTTTTGAACATTTGTTCCTTTGTCAAAATCCAACTATAAGGCCTTTTCTACAAGCTTGTTTATACCACACAGCAAATCTGAGGCCTGGAATTCGTTCGACTTAAAAACACTATACACAGAGGTTACTTGGGGACTGGGGGTTAACAGGGGCCCAGCAGCTTTTTTTGCAATGACTGTCAGTACATGATAGACAACCATCCACCACCTGTGGACAGGAGCATTTCCAGTGACTTTAGAGGCCCCAGGTAAAAGCACCTAGGGGGGCCATGCATCAAACCAAACCAAAGTAGTGTTTCCAACCATGGTGTCATTGCAGTTTCCTGTACATATCCTATAATTGGACTTTAAGGTGGTTCTCATAAAATTGTAATTGCTGTGGGCTAACGTAATCAGTCGTTCTTTGGGACATTTCAGCTCAGGGGTCCCAGGAAACTGCCAGCCTTGCTGACACTGTTGCAACAACTCTGCCTGTGGACACAGGTTCATAGTAATCATGGCTTCATCTGATATAAAACTTACTTCTGAGATCAACAACTTCAAGTGCAGTGCACTTTTATTTCTGCTTCTAATTAAGCTTATCAGTCTCATCAGATATTTTGATTTGTCACAGTGAAAAAGGCACATATGTAAATAATAATTAGTGATAATGAAGTATGCTTAGTTTCTTCTGTATCAGAGTCCTGCTTGTCCATGTTGGCTGACCTGTTGTCAAGAACATTAGCAAAGCTATGATCAATGTTATTAGCTCTGTGTTTTCACCCCTGTCCATTTATTTGTACATTTTGGTACAGGTCCAGATCAGCAGGTTGATCCAGGATTTTTTTCTCTCTCTGTCTTTAACATTACGAGAAAGAGTTTCTCAACATTGTCACAATTTTTCGACCAAGAAATAATGAATTGATCTTGATGAAAAAATCGTTCACATTTTAGGGAACTGATACGAGTGTGTGCAATCTGGTGCAGCTCGATTGATGTGGACTGTTGGGTCATTCCATTAAGTGACATGTATTCTATTCCTAATATAAAAAGATGAAAAATGATGTTAAAGGAACGTTTGGCTCAGAGTGAATCCTTAATCTATTACTAAAAGAAAACAAGAACAGTGTGACTTTATCATTAGATGCAGCAAAACTGACTGTGATGTTTCCACTATGATGCTTGACGTTGGTGTATGAAGTCCTATAGTGTGAAGGGATGAGGTGAGTGGTTGAATCGTGTTTCTTCTCACTCAGCTGATGTTGTCACTGTATGGTACAGCTCAGAATGACCATGCAGTCAAAGGATGCAGGAGGCTGGAGGCTGTCACTGCTCTTATTTACATGTCTAATTGGTCAGTGTTGGAGATGGATGTCTGCACCACTCCCTCTCCGGGTCCAGGAGCAGCATGTGTCCGCCCCATCCATGCCTCTCTCCGGGTGTGTGTGTGTGTGTGTGTGTATATATGTGTGTGTATGTGTCTGTCTGTGTGTGTGTGTGTGCATGTGCAAACTCCGCCCCTGCTTGCGCCGCCTCCACAGCGGACCGCAATGATTTAGAAGTTCAGGAATCCCACGTGACGTCACCCCGGGGTGACGTTATGCTTCTCTAAATAGATCGTATTGTAATCTTTTCTCAGTCCAACGTGGTTTCTCCTCCGAGGCTGCTTCACATTTTCTACACTTGTTTGGTGAGTTGAAAACCATCGCAGGCTGCCGAACATGCAGAGGACCGTGCATGCGCCTCTGCAGGTTTGTTGTGTTTTGTTAATAAGCGCTCCTTCTTACTTTTGGTTTTTGCCTCCTCCTTTTCTTTTTTTCTTCCCGTGCAACAGCTTGTTTCGTTGGTCGCTTCAGCAAGTCCTCTTCAAGATGTAGCGTTTTCTTTCCCCTAACTTATTAGTGGCTGCAGCTAGAGGAGATTAAAGTGTGCTGGTAGTTTTGTGGGTGCAGTGTCATCTCAGTCCGGTGTCCGCGCGTCGGCCTGCGGTCTGTTGACTGTCGGTGAAGTTGAACGCGGAGTCAAGTGCTCGGTCTGTCTGCAGGAATTCATCTCACACCGCACACTGGGACAGTTGCACATGCAGGATGGGGCTTTCATGCACATCGCACCAGTTTGTTTGGTGCATGTTCCACATTGAGGCTCCAGAGCTGGACTCCTGCATCCTTGTCACGTCTGTCCCATCTCGGGATACGCAGAGCCGGCGTTTGTCCCGGACGCTGTGCGCGCTGATCGGGAGGGAAATAAATGATAAACCTCCGTGGGTTTTTTTTGTTTGTGCTATTTTCTACAGAAGCGAACAAATGGTTGATGCTCCTGTTGCCATGAAATGTATGTTTCCCCTCTTTTCCCTCGAACAGCACCGGGACTAACATTACGTCATTCTGCAGGCCAGTCGATATTTGATTAAGCGTCGAGATGTTGAGGTTATACTTTGTGCTGACGAGGCTCCGCGGCTCAGACACAAGAAAGATGCTTTAATCATATGATTACTGCCCGCTGTCATTATGTTTAATGGGACGAGCCTATCAATAACCACTTGTTTCTCCCAGTTTTATTGTCACCCTTTTAAATGGCTGTCGTTAATAACCCCTAATAAGGTATTTAACTTTGATGGTGATATTAATAATTGTCATAATTTAACATAGACTGGATGGACCTTAAATGTTAAATACTTTAAAAAACAAGCCCTTGTCATTTATAGTGCAGTAGAAGAAAGTGTAATTTTCAATGAAAATAACTACTTTTCACATTTTTGTTGTGAGAAGCTTTACAAAGCAAACATTTACAATGATCTGTTATAGACTGAGAAGAGTTAACAACTTTAAATAAGCTAATTAAAGAATAATAATTAAAATGTTGTTCTATATTAATATTCAACTAAAGTAGTATTATTCACATTTTGTTGTCCAACATCAGAACAGGAATAAAAATAGCAACGTCTGTAAAGTCATTGACTCCACATTAATCTGGATGACTTGTTGTTTAGTAACCTTGCTGCAGCTGTAATTCTTCCCATATTTTTCTCAATGTTAAGTCTGATTGCAGCCTCATGCAGCGCCTCATCGCAGCAATGAAATGTGACCTACGATGAGTTTATTTGTTGATGCTTGTTGCATGTGCTCAAGGTGAAACATTCCTCTGGTAACAATTGTGCTAATGTAGTCAGGGGGTCAAATGACTTGAGTCATTGCAGTGATCAACAGTCCAATCAACATGTTGGCAGCAGAAGTTTCATTTCACCTGCTTTTGTTATGAGTTTACATCTTGTGAGGGAGAGCAGTAATTAGTTATTGAGGTCTACATACAACAGTCTTTTTGTCACGTACTCAGTTCAAGAGCAGAAGTTCAGGGCAGACATTGTCAAAGCAGGCCATGCTCCCCCTGCCTCAGGGATCAATGTGATCCTACCTTGAACTTGTGCTGTCAAAGGCCCAGGCTATGGGGGAGCTGAAATTTGAATTGCTGCGCATGTTTGTGCTTGCTTTAACCCAATATGCCTTTGCACCCCAACCCGTCGTTTCCCTCACCATATTGTTTAAATTCTAATATGCTTTTCTACCTGGAGAATTCCAGCCCGGCTGCTCTTGAAATCGAACGCCCGACCCTAATCCTTCCCCTCGCACACATCAGGATATGGTTAATATAAAGTGTAACCAAATTTCCTCTGCTAAACTAAAACATCTATATCAAATGAGAGCCAAGTGCCCCTTCCAAGGAAAGGACTTTGAGCACTGATAATTTGAAGTGAGAGAGCGATTGGATAATTCACAGGAGGCATTCACAGAATTAATGGTGAGAAGTTTTATGTGTCATGTGGTTTGAATTTCCTACTAAATGTGATGAACAGATCAGGTCCCATTTTAGAAACAGGGAGAGGAAGGTGAAAGTTTGATTTCTGCATCTGTTTTGAAAGTCATGGATACTCTCTTTCTCAAAGTTTTAATCAGTGCCTTCATTAGTGCTCCAAAGTGAAAGCCCGGATGAAAAATATTAGATGTTTCTGATTAAAAAGAGGTGATTTATTGTTGCACATGTGTTCAGGAAGACAGATTGAAAACAAATGTGGCAACAAGTATTATAGAAACAGCTGGAAGTTCAGTGTAACTTCATTTGAGATAAAAGTGGGGCCTAAAATGTTGATTGAACACGAGAATAATCGGCAGCTTGTCTTTACACAGGTTCTAATACTCGCCATCATCCTGAGGCTTATAGTTTTGGGTTGAAGGTTAGGATCGGCAGTGTTAGTCGTGTTTGTTGTGTCAAAGGGGACCAGGTGAGTTTTCAGGGGCCCAGCAGAAGAGATCGAGGGAACTGGTGACAGAAAGAGAGAGCAGGGCTCATTGCTCCCTGACAGAGAGACCCTGTCCAGACCCTGTTCTGCAGGCCCGGTCATGAAGTACAGCTTGTTAGGAAAACAGCACTGCTTAGCATAACACAATATTTGAGTGTTTTGACTGTGCTTGAGGAAACAGACACACATGTACATAGTGTATGAAGGTATTCATGCTCAACACGTGACATGCGGCACCCACTTGGATGTCGGATGCGTTGCCGTTCTCGTGAATTGATAGAGTCACAAAGTTTTTGTTATCCGTTTGTTATTTTAAGATCTCGCAGCAGCATCTGTGTTGTTCCAGTCCTCACAGAGACACATGATGAACAAAACACACACCTAATGACAATCACTACCTTATTTGTCCGTTAACAGTCCCTGTAGAAAGAAAAAATATTGTTGCAGTGTTTGACCTCTATTTGTTTTTATTGAGCTTTACTTTAGTGGTGTCAGAATAGAGAGAGACTGTGTTTTTTATCGTCCAAGTACTATTCAAATCAGGCTTCTCTCACTTATTGATGCACAAATGAAGTGTCCATATCTCTAGTTCAGTCACATGCCCTTCAGGCCTCAAATAACACTGGCTGTGAATGGAGTCCTGTAGGAAGTTTAAATGTTCATTCCTGGTTTGCATGTCCTATACAAAAAGATCTGCATGTAAATGTTGCTGCTTTGCCATGGTCACAGTTGTGGCTCGAGGCTGAGTTGTGCCCAAATGTGGGGAACTGTTAAATAAAACATCTTTCACAAGGTGCTGAACATCTGTAGCACTGTGCATGTAGTGACTGCTCACAGGTTGTTAAGTTAGTGTTGGCCAGTTATGAACATAGTTCACGCTGCTTCGCACTGGACGATCATTTGACCTCTGAATAAGAAATTCCCGAAGGCCGAGGGCTTATGTCCAAAAAATACTCAAATAATACTTATTTTCTTTTCTCTCTCTTTCTTTGCCGTATAATTATTTTTTAATAAAAACCCTTTTGTCATTTAATGAAATAAGCTGAGCACATCTGTATTTAATGTTGTCTTAACACAGACATCTCTAAGGAGAACTACATAAATTAAATGCAGTGTACAGTTATTAAAATAATAATTGAAATCAGGAAATCACTGCTTAAAGACTAAATAAGTTAAGAGTCAGACTGGACATTCAGTGCCAGCTTTTGCTGCTTTAATACTCTTCACAGACACTACACAGTCAAATGCACTGGTGCATCTACAGCTACACTAGTTGCGGTGGAAGGACCACAAGTGTGATCCCTGAAAAATCTATAAATATATTTATATAAAAGCTTAATTTTAACATCATAGTTAAAATATTTAAATGTGGGTGAAGACATCTCTTGTACATCAAATTAAAGTTTTTAAATAATTTTGAATTGATTTTGAGAAGCTGTTAAAATGCACCTGTTATTTCTGTTGCTTTTTCCTCTGGTGCCATAAACATAGTCCGGCTGTTTAATGTATTTATAAAAATGAATGCAGGTTGTGTTTTGTTTGTGTTGTGTGGGATTTGTACATTAAGGGAGGGACAGGATAATATTTACATCATTTGTAGGCCTTTAAATTTTATGTGAGTGTGGTTTAGTGTTATATTTTTTTAAGCAGAGGACAGGGACACTATTCTGGAAAAGTTTGTTCACTTTTACCTTTGAATTACAGCATCAAACACGGTTACTGAAGCCAATGCATATTGGACATGATGCAGCTGCAGGATGCTACAGCTGCAGTGTACTTGTATTTACTGTAAAGCACACATTTAGACAATAGTTTGTTGATAATACATAGTTATATATATTATATTATATAAATTATTTGTAATATTCAAAACTAACGCGTGTTTATAAAATTGAAATTGAATAAACAATTGAACTACAGCCTCTGTTTAACCCTCGTGCAATGCTGCTCTGCCTTTACTTCCTTCCTTGTTGTTCTCATTATGTCAAACTGAGTACAGACTAAATGTTTAGACAGCTGTACAACCAAAATGTGTAAAGACTGTAGCGTTAGCTTTTAAAAACATGAATGAGATTGAAGTACTTTCCATTTAAACTTAATTTTGTGAAAAAGAAAATGTTAAATTTTTCTTATCACTACTTAGTGTGCCTTTACCTTGATGTCATTTTAGTAATTTAGAATTGTGACAAAACTCTGTTTATTGCCAAAAAATACACAGCTGGTTCAAGTGCAATGGCAATTTTATGTGTGTGTAAGTAAGTCTCTCTTCTTTTTTCTTTTTTTCTCACAGTTTTATGAGAAGTCGGCCAGAGTGATGAACTCAGACCAGGAAAGGCCATTCGTGTGCAATGCTCCTGGCTGTTCTCAGGTGAGTGTGTCGAGTGAGTGTGTGTGCGTGTCTGTAACATGAAGAGGAGGCCCGAGGAGCAGGTTACTGCCTCATGCATACGGGAGGGACAGAAGAGTATGAAACTAAGTGACACACAAACTGTAAATAATGCTGCAGATGTAGAAATATCTATAGACAAAAATGCTCTTCAATTTCAACACCGAGACTGATGCTATTACATCATCATAACATAACTTGATTGTTTATTTTTCTTTTTCGTAAATGCAACTCTTACACTCCTACTTTTCTTTTTAAACTCTACAGCGATTCCCCACGGAGGACCATTTGATGATACACCGACACAAACATGAGATGACCCTTAAGTTCCCCTCCATAAAGAACGACAACATGTTATCAGGTGAGTTAGAGACACATCCGTGCAGACACACACTGCCTCAGCAGGGCTCACAGGGAACTTATGGTTCCTTTGCAGGTGTGTGCCTCGGTGACTCATGTGCAGACACACTCGTCTGTCATCAGAAAAACTTTATGGCGTGTCTATACCAGTTGTTTACAGTAATGTAAATTATATGACACATGCTACCTCGCAGCTCGGCTCTATTCAGTGCACACCATGTACGCACAGCAGGATGAAGACAAGCTGACTTATGATGGAAGCATGTCGAGTTAAATTCTTCTTCTTTGTGTGATTTACACCAGAGGTATCATTAGTCTTCAGCTAACTGTAGAATCAACGGGAGATGGTTTACAACTGTTTTATGAATGGTTGGGTGTACAAGCCCCCGGTGACATGCATCTGGATAAATTCATAGAGTGTGTGCTGCATATATAAGTGTTAACCCAAGGCCAATCCATAAGTATAGATCTCCGTTCTTAGAAACGTCCCCTGCTACAATAGACGACACAGCGTGCTGCTTCAGCCAAACAATCGAGATTGCGTCTTCTTTATTATTTACACTCAGTGGACAGAAGGATCGGATTTTCTAGGCCAGGCCACCTTGTTGCCCATTGTTACAGCTCTAGATATTGTTCTTAGTGAGACCTTGAACTCAGGATGAAAATAGTTAATGTAACTTACAACTAATCTCTCATGGTAACACACCCTATCCTGGGCGACTACTCTTACTTTCACACATATAACTGCAGTCTCATAGTTAACTTCCTCTTCCCTTTTCTAACATTTTCATTGCACAGGTATTTTTTCATTGATAGAACTTGAGTTACACTCTGAGCTTTTCAAATGGAAAAAAAAACATTTGTTGTAAAAATGTATTTTGGAAACACAGGTCATGATGAAAGTTTAAGTCAATCCCCAGTCTTGCCAGAATGGATAAACAGACCATGAAGTATGCTTTTAGCCTTTGAAACAAGCCTGATCCTAAAATCACCTTCAACTGTCTGAAACCTGATCTGTGAGCACCCCCACAATGTCAAGCTGAATACCGCGCCTTGACTGAGTTCAACAAATGAGACCCCCACTCAGGAGGTGGGATCTGTACTTTATCAGCTAAAAAGGGGCTGTCAACGTCAGTATCTCTCTCTGCCTAACAGTACGAAAGTGATGTTTTCTTAGAATCACTGCAGATATGGAACAACAGCTTGAACTTATTCATTTCCTTAAGTGTTTGTTGATGTCACTGGGGTTTGCATGAACAAAACAAGCAGCACATTAGTATGGTGCAGAATCATGGAGGTGAGAAAATAAAAAACATAACAAACATAAGCATCAGGAAAAATGGAAAAAAAGCTTCTTAATTATGTACTTGATTTGGTGATTTAGAAAATGAATGAATGGTTATTCTTACTGTGCTGAAACTAAACTAAACTGCTTTATCTGGTGATATTAATCAACCCATATGTTACACTTTTTTGATTTTGAGTTTTGAGTTCCATAAGAAGATGGAATTGTGGTTTTAGGTACCAAAGAAGTAAGTGAGTAAGAGAGTGTATTTTTTTCATCAAGTGCTTTTCTTTAGACTTCTTGCAAGAACAGGGGATTTTATGTCTGTTTTTCCCAGTAAATGCAAATGACGGTCAGTGCTGAGCCGAAAAGCTGTGTTAAATTTGTCTTAATGCTGTGGATAGTTTTGTTGTGGAGCTAAACGCTGGCCTTCGATTTTGGTGCATCTGGTGGTGGTTCGGGTGAATGCCCACAGTGTTGCGGCATCCAGGTCCAATGCAGGAGCGGTGTAGACTGCTATCCCAGCCTTCGGCTCCCTTTGGGAGGAAGACTGGCCGCTCTTCTCAGCTGCTAGACCTCTGCCAGGCAGACAGGTATAGTGCCAGAGTGCATCAAAGCCCACCAGGGACATCAAGCCGTTTGGTGATTATCAGCTAAGAGTGGAACACAGTTTGCTTTGTCTGAGCAGCAGCCACAGTGACAAAGCTGTCAAGCAGCTCATCCTTTTTTTGGATTGTTGACTCAAGGCAATGGATTTTATCCCTTAACGCTCACATGCAGCCATAATAATAACTGCTTTTTAGTGCGAAATAGGACTAATCCAACAATACAAATATCGAGGAGACACAATTGGAGAAACCAAATCCTGCGAGGTGGGATTGTGAGTCTGTTGTGAGCTTTACCAAGGGCATGGTTAAGGTTGGTGACTGTTTGGTTGTGAGATCACAAATTCACAATTAATCCAGATGACTCATTTTGAGGCACAGTTTCTAAAACTGGCTTTGTGCACTTCTTTGTGGATTTAGCATTTTGATACTTTCTCAGTATTTGTACAGCACAGAGACCTGCTTTAGAATCAAAAAGAGAAAATGTCACTCTCTTCAATATGAGACCTTCAAAACAAATACGTACATCGTTTTATTATTTGTATTATATGTATGTTTTGTATCTTTTATATATCTTTTATATTTACATTTTTTGTTTGATTATCATTTTTCTGTCATTATATATACGCTGTCTTTCAGTTGTGATGAGCTATAGTTTGCTAATAAAAATGAAAATTTACTTTAAGATAACTGTGGCACAATACATCAAATTGCTTAATCAAATGCTTAATACTGTGCACAGTCCCTTATATAAAGAAACAAAAATTCAATATATAAATTTAATATTTTTTTGCCAGTTCCTGAATTCCTCGAGCTGTAATCTTTTGCAGTTCACATTCATGGTGTATTTACAGCATTACAAATGAACACCTATTAAAAGTTGATCATTTGGAAGCTAAAGGTAGAAAATTGTTTCCTTGATTTCCAGACCAGACGCCAACACCGACGCGTTTCTTGAAGAACTGTGAGGAGGTGGGATTGTTCAGTGAACTGGACTGCTCCATCGAGCAGGAGTTTTGCAAGGCCCAGGAAGAAGAGGACAGCAAACAGGTACTGCAGAGTTGCACTTTAAATGCAACCTAAAAAAACAGCCTATATGTGAATCCAAAGCCACAGCCACCCACAGTTCTTAGGTCATGCAGGTGTGAACTGTTATCTGGTGTTATCATAGTCAGAAACAGCCCACAACATATGAACATGCTTTTAATAGATTCAGAGCACCATGACCTCATGTGACCACACTGCTCACATGTTGATAACCACAGATTTTGTAGACAACATCAATATTCCTGCACATCCAGCCCTTGTTGTGCTGCAGATGCTACACTCTTCATCAGTCTTGCTGACAGTGACAGTGAGGGGTAGCAAGGGAAGATTTGCCACCCACCACAGGTGAAGAAAAAGAGATCAGCTTCTCTACCTGTAACTTCAAACAGCTCTACAGCCATCTCTCAGGGAGTCCAGTTTCCTCCCAGACGTTCAGACAGACCCTTTGTAGCAGTAATAAAAGACCTGAGCAGACGTTCTCGCATTCGCATGTGCTCGTAGTCGCAGACCTTTGACATATAACAAAAGATATGATCATTTTTGCACTGCAGATATGACCTGAGGCTTCAGTACCTGAAACTAAGGTGCTTGTCAAATCACCACAAGACAGACTGCTTATCTAATGTCTGGGAAGATGTGCAATGCACGCTGAAGCTAAGCTGTCGTTTGGGTGGTTTGGCTCTGGAGCTCATCTGTGCTCAGGTCATGCCATGTCTAGCCTCTCAAGCCTGTGTGGTTTATGATGGGAGGCTCTGCTAAGTCAGCAGGAGACGAGTCAGAGCAAGACTCTCGGAGTGCACAATAGAGAGAGATAAGGAATGAAAGCACTGAAACCTCAGGAAAACAACAATCAGCCAATGTAAATATAAAACAGTCACATATTCATGCACAGACATTCCAGTTTAGGTAGAAGGCTGAGTGATTTATTTGTATTGTATTGTATTACTAAAAATGTGCACCATTCTCTATCCCTATTTTATGTTTGATTATTGGCAGTGGCTGTTGCTGTTATACACGAAGATATGTGAGTTGAACACGAAGATACATTGTTACTTTGGATATAGCGTAAATGCCATTATGTGTACCAGAGGGTAAACAAAGAAACTGTCCTGCTGAGTAAATAACAACAAGCAGGCCTGGTCTTCATTGTTTCCTCAACTCTGCTCAGAAAAAACCTGTAGATGATAGTTTACATAGTTCCTCATTACCGATTCAAGCTGGGCATACAGAGCCGGAGGCCAAAAGTTTGTAATGCTCAGGTTGTGCTGAAAATTTTACTTTCTGGCAAAGAATTGAGGCTCTTGACAGATTTCTAACCGTACATACATTCCTCCTCCTCCCCCCCACCCCCTTTTTGTGCAGAACATCTCACTGCACGGCCAGGGAGGCCAAGGCCAGCACCAGCAGTCCCACTCGCGGATGGGCAACCACGACACCAGCATAGTGATCCAGCAGGCCCTGCCCTCCCCTCAGTCCAGCTCCGTCATCACTCAGGCTCCATCCACGAATAGACAGATCGGGTGAGTGGGCTACACAGTTGGAAAATCCAGCTAATCATAAGAAACAGCTACAAAAATGTAAATTAAATTAGACATGCGGCAGAAAGAGTGGAAAGAATAGAGTTTTTGTCATTGTAACTCAATGTAGGGGATTTGTGTGAGTTTCTTTTTTGATACCATGGGGTAGAAGCAGTGTAAAGAAGTGCTGACAGACTGAAAATCACCTGAGAGGTGCTGTGATTGGAGTGTAACCTCAAGAGTGGCCCCGCTATAGCTACAGCCTTAGGGTCGACCTGGTTGTCTTTGTGTCCAGGCTGATTGTCACTGCTCCGTAGTCTCTGAGGTAATGTCAGTATTTTGTTACATTTGCGGCACAGTGTGTTTGTGTGTGTGTGTG